TTTCCTCTCCTTTGTACCTTTCTCTTTTTATGTCTCCCTAAAGTCATTCCATTTATTTTCCTAAAAATTTGTTCCATTCATCCGTTTTCTCCTCAATTTTATTCTTCTATGTCTCTAAAAAGTTGTTCCGTATCCCCTTCAGGATCCCTTCAGGACGTAGGCGATCATGGCTCTCCACAATTTCCTCTCCTTTGTACCTCTTAATAAATTTCATCTTTTTATGTCTCCTAAAAGTTGTTCCATCATCCTTTTCCTCAAGCTTATTCTTCTACTTCTACGTGCCGTATCCCTTCAGGACGTAGGCGATCATGGCTCTCCACAATTTCCTCTCCTTTGTACCTCTTAATAAATTTCATCTTTTTATGTCTCTAAAAGTTGTTCCATCATCCTTTTCCTCAAGCTTATTCTTCTACTTCTATATGCCGTATCCCTTCAGGACGTAGGCGATCATGGCTCTCCACAATTTCCTCTCCTTTGTACCTCTTAATAAATTTCATCTTTTTATGTCTCCTAAAAGTTGTTTCCATCATCCTTTTCCTCAAGCTTATTCTTCTACTTCTACATGCCGTATCCCTTCAGGACGTAGGCGATCATGGCTCTCCACAATTTCCTCTCCTTTGTACCTCTTAATAAATTTCATCTTTTTATGTCTCCTAAAAGTTGTTCCATCATCCTTTTCCCTCAAGCTTATTCTTCTACTTCTACATCTTTTTATGCCCTAAAGTATCCCTTCAGGACGTAAAATATCAGTCGATCATGGCTCTCTACAATTTCCTCTCCTTTGTACCTCTTAATAAATTTCATCTTTTTATGTCTCCTAAAAGTTGTTCCATCATCCTTTTCCTCAAGCTTATTCTTCTACTTCTGTGCCGTATCCCTTCAGGACGTAGGCGATCATGGCTCTCCACAATTTCCTCTCCTTTGTACCTCTTAATAAATTTCATCTTTTATGTCTCCTAAAGTTGTTCCATCATCCTTTTCCTCAAGCTTATTCTTCTACTTCTACGTGCCGTATCCCTTCAGGACGTAGGCGATCATGGCTCTCCACAATTTCCTCTCCTTTTTGTACCTCTTAATAAATTTCATCTTTTTATGTCTCCTAAAAGTTGTTCCATCATCCTTTTCCTCAAGCTTATTCTTCTACTTACGTGCCGTATCCCTTCAGGACGTAGGCGATCATGGCTCTCCACAATTTCCTCTCCTTTGTACCTCTTAATAAATTTCATCTTTTTTTCCTCATGTCTCCTAAAAGTTGTTCCATCATCCTTTTCCTCAAGCTTATTCTTTTAACTTCTTCTATTACCCGTATCCCTTCAGGACATAAAGCGATTTAATTTGCTCTCCACATATTTCCTCTCCTTTTTAGTTCCTCTTAATTTCCTTTCATCTTTTTCTTTTTATGTCTCCTAAAAGTTGTTCCATCTTCCTTTTCCTCAAGCTTATTCTTCTCCTTCTACAAATCCGTATCCCTTCAGGACGTTTCGATCCTTTTCTCTTTTTTTCCTCTCTTTCATTCCTCTTAATAAATTTCATCTTTTATTTCTTCTTTTAATTTCCTTTTTTCCTGCCGATATTTTCCTCTTTTATTTTGTTCATTCTTTTCCTCAATTATTCTTCTACTTCTACGTGCCGTTATTTTGTTCATGGCTCTCTTTTCCTCTCCTTTTACCTCTTAATAAATTTCATCTTTTTATGTCTCCTAAAAGTTGTTCCATCATCCCTTTCTTTCTCTTCTTCTACTTCCTCGTGCCGTATCCCTTCAGGACGTTCTCATTTCCTCCACATATTTCCTCTCCTTTACCTACCTCTTAATAAATTTCATTTCCCGTTTCTTTTTTATGTCTTTCTTTTATTTTGTTCCATCATTTCCTTTTCCTTGTTACTTTATTTCTTCTACTTCTATGTGCCGTTATCCCTTCAGGACGTAGGCGATCCTTTTCTCCAAAATTTCCTCTCCTTTCATTCTCTTAATAAATTTCATCTTTTATGTCTCCTAAAAGTTGTTTTAATTTGCCTTTTCTTCCTGCTTATTCTTCTCTTTTATTTGCCGTTCCTTCTTTTTCCTTAATATTATTTCTTTTTTATTTTGTTCACTTTCTTCTCCTTTAAATTCCCATGTGTTATTTATTTCTTCTTTTTATGTCTCCTAAAAGTTGTTTTCATTTCATCCTTTTCCTCAAATTATTCTTCTTCTTCTATGTGCTCCTCAAATCCCTTCAGGACCTTTAATTTCTTTTCTCTTAATTTCCTCTCCTTTATACCTCTTAATTTCTTTCATCTTTTATGTCTCCTAAAAGTTGTTCCATCATCCTTTTCCTCAAGTTTATTCTTCTACTTTTAATTTTGTTCCGATATCCCCCTTTCTTACGTTTAGTTCCTTTCTTTTCCTGGCTTTCTTTTTATTTTCTTCTCCTTTCTACCTCTTAATAAATTTCATCTTTTATGTCTTTCCTCCTAAAATTTTGTTTTATGTCATCCTTTTCCTCAAAATTATTCTTCTTTTCTACGTGCCGTTCCCTTCAGGACGTTTCGATCAAATTCTCCTTAATTTCCTTTCCTTTGTACCTCTTTCTTCCTTTCATCTTTTATGTCTCCTTTAAGTTGTTCCATCATCCTTTTCCTCAAGCTTATTCTTCTTTTCTATTGCCGTTCCCTTCAGGACGTAAATTCCATGGCTCTCTACAATTTCCTTTCCTTTCTACCTCCTAATAAATTTCATCTTTTTTATGTCTTTCGTTTTCTTCATCCTTTTCCTCAAAATTATTCTTCTAAATTTCTTTTCTTAATAGTCTATCCCTTTCAGGACGTTTTAATTTTCATGGCTCTCCACAATTTCCTCTCCTTTTTTCCTCTTAATAAATTTCATCTTTTTATGTCTCCCTTAAAAGTTGTTTATTTTGTTCATCTTTCTTCTTTCTTACAAATTCCCATTATTCTTCTACTTCTTCTCTTTCCTCCTTCAAACGTAGGCGATTTATGGCTTTCGTTTCTTCCTCTTCTTTATACCTCTTAATAAATTTCATTCTTTTATGTCTCCTAAAATTTCACTTAAGTTTCCATCATCCTTTTCTTCCTTTATTCTTCTCTTTTTATTTAGTTCCCTTCAGGACTTAGGCGATCTTTTTATTTTCTTCAATTTCCTTCTCCTTTGTCCCTCTTAATAAATTTCTTCTTTTTCCTGTCTCCTAAAACGTTGTTCCATCATTTCTTCCTTTTCCTCAAAATTATTCTTCTACTTCTAATTTCTTCGTATTTCTATCCCTTCAGGACCTTTTCTTCAATCTCATGGCTCTTTCATAATTTCTTTTTCCTTTTTACCTCTTTCCTTCATCTTTTTTATGTCTCCTAAAAGTTGTTCCATCATCCTTTTCCTCAAGCTTATTTCTTTTACTTCTATTCACCGTTCTTCCTTCAGGACGTAGGCGATCATGTGCTCTCTTTAATTTCCTCTCCTTTATACCTCTTAATAAATTTCATCTTTTTATGTTTTCTTTCTTCCTTGTTCCATCATCCTTTTTCCTTTTCTTTTATTCTTCTACTTCTACGTTCCTCTATCCCTTCAGGACTTTTTCTTTTAATGGCTCTTCCACAATTTTATCTCCTTTTTATTTCTTAATAAATTTCATCTTTTTATTTCTCCTTTTATTTGTTCCATCATCCTTTCTCCTCAAATTTATTCTTCTACTTTTATGTTTCTTATCCCTTCAGGACGTAGGCGATTTATGTTTTTCCACAATTTCCTTCCTTTTCCTCTTAATAAATTTCATCTTTTTTCATTCTCCTAAAAGTTGTTCCATCATCCTTTTCCTCAAGCTTATTCTTCTTTAATTTGCTCTCCTTCAGGACGTAATCATTCTCCAAATTTCCTCTCCTTTGTTTCTTTTTAAATTTCATCTTTTATGTCTCCTAAAAGTTGTTCCATCATTCTTTCTTTTCCTTATTCTTCTACTTTTACGTGCCTCATCCCTTCAGGACAAGGCGATCATGTGTTACTTTAGTTTCTTCTCTTTCCTCCTCTTAATAAATTTTTCTTTTTCGTTTCTCCTTTTCCTTTATTCCAATTTCATTCCTTTTCTCCTCAAATTTCACTTATTCTTTTAATTTTTTATGCACTGCTTTCTTCCTTCAGGATATTATCCTCTTTTTTTTAGTTCCTTTCTTTTCCTTTAATAAATTTCATTTTTTTATTCACTCCTTCTTTTGTTCCATCATCCTTTTCCTTTAAGCTTATTCTTCTCTTCTCCTACAAATCCCTTCAGGACGTATGTTTCATTTCTTCCACAATTTCCTCAAAATTGTTCCTCTTAATAAATTTCATTCTTTTTATGTCTCCTAAAAGTTCCATCTCCATCCTCAAGCTTTTAATTTGCACTTATTCTTCCTACCGATCTCCACATTATCCTCTTTTTATTTCAGGACATTTCTTTTTCTTAATATTATTTCTTTTTATTTTGTTCACTTTCTTCTTTCTTCTCACAATTTCCTCTCCTTTTTACCTTTCTTCTCTTTCCTCTTTTTAAATGTCTCGTTTTATGTTTTCCATTCTTCCTTTTCCTCAAAATTATTCCTTTAATTTCATTCTCTTACTGTATCCCTTCAGGACACTTAATTCGATCATAATTCTCCACTCTTTCTTCTCCCGATATTATCCTCTTTTAAATTTCATCTTTTTCTTTTCCTTAAATTTGTTTCTTTTTCCTTTTCCTCAAGCTTCTTCTTCTTTTCTTACAAATTCCCATCCCTTCAGGACTTTAGTTTCTTCCTCCTCCAAATTTCCTCTCCTTTGTGTTTTAATTTCTTCCTTTTTTTAAATTATTCCTTTTAATTTGTTCCATCTTCCTTTCTCCTCAAATTTTATTCTTCTTCTTTTATTTTGCCGTATCTTTTCTTCCTGCCGATATCATTAATTTCCTCTTTTGTACCTCTTAATTAATTTCGTCCTTTTCTTTTCCTTTTGTTCTTTTTATTTTTTTTCCTTTCTTACAAATTCCCTTCAGGACATGTTTGTTCCATTTCTTCCTTTTCCTCCTACAAATTTTAACGTTTTTTGTTTTCGTTTCTTCCTTTTCCTCAAAATTATTCTTTTAATTTCATTCTCTTACTGTCTCCTCAAATTTCTTCAGGACGTTTTTTTAATTTGCACTCTTTCTTCTCCTTTGTATCTTAACCTCTTTTATTTTTTTATGTCTCCTTTTCCTTGTTCCATTTCCTTTTCCTTTTGTTCTTTCTTCTTTCTTCTAATTCCATATAAGTTTTTTACGTTCTTCTCTTTCCTCCTACAAATTTCCTCTCCTTGTAACTCTTTTTAAATTTCATTTCTTTTCTTTTCCTCAAAATTTGTTTTTTATCATCCTTCTCTTACTCATCTCTTATTTCTTCTTCTTCTTTATTTGCATCTTTCTTCCTCCTAGGCGATATTGGCCTCTTTTTATTTCCTTCCTTTCTTTTCTTAATAAATTTCATTTTTTTTTGTCCTAAAAAGTTGTTTCCATCATCCTTTTCCTCAAGCTTATTTTCTTTTCTTCCTCCTATCCTTCCTCGTTTTATTTTTTTCCAATTTCTTCCTTTTCCTCAAAATTATTCCTTTTAAATTCATTCACTTTTTATCTCCTAAAATTTCACATTAAGTTCCTTTAATTTCTTCTCTTTTCTTCCTGCCTTCAAATATTATCCTCTTTTTATTTCCTTCCTTTCTTTTCCTTAATAAATTTTCTTTTTTTTGTTCTCCTTCTTTGTTCCATCAAATTTTCATGTGTTCTTTTATTCTTCTCTTTCTACCTGCCGTAATGTTCAGGACGTTTTCATGGCTTTCTTTTCCAATTTCCTTTCCTTTTGTTTTGTTCTTAATTCTTTTCATCTTTTTTGTCTCTCCTAAAAGTTGTTCCATCATCCTTTTTTAATTTGCAGCTTTCTTTCTTCTTCTTATTGCCTATTTTCAGGACGTTTCTTTCATTTTCCCTTAATTTCCTTTCCTTTTGTTCTAAATTTCATCTTTTTATGTCTCCTAAAAGTTGTTCCATCATCCTTTTCCTCAAGCTTATTCTTCTAATTGCCGTTCTTCCCTTCAGGATTTTTTATTTATTTCATGGCTCCTACAATTTTCCTTCCTTTGTTTCTTTAATAAATTTCATCTTTTTATGTTCCTTCTCTTTGTTCCATCATCCTTTTTTTCAAGCTTAAGTTCTTTTTAATTTTACGTGCTTTATCCCTTCAGGATATTATCCTCTTTTATTTCCACAATTTCTTTTCCTTTATATTTCTTTTTATTTTTCATCTTTTTATGTCTTCCCAAAAGTTGTTTCATCATCCTTTTCCTCCTACAAATTATTCTTTTATGTTTTCTATGTTCCGTTTCCTTCAGGACGTATTCCGATCATGGCTCTTACAATTTCCTCTCCTTTGTACCTCTTAATTTAATTTCATCTTTTTTGTCTCCTAAATTATCCTTGTTCCATTTCATCCTTTCTTTCAAAATTATTCTTTCTTTTATTTTGTTATCCCTTCAGGACTTAGGCGATCATGTGTTCCACAATTCTTCTCTTTTTTACAAATTTTCTTCCTTTTTTTCCTTTTCCTTAATAAATTTCATCTTTTTATGTCTCCTAAAATTGTTCCATCATTTCCTTTCTCCTCAAATTTCACTTATTCTTTTAATTTGCTTTTCTTCCTGTGCCAAATATCCTCTTTTATGTTTCGTTTTCCATTCATTTCCTCCTTAATATTATTTCTTTTTTTTCAATTTTCTTCTCCTTTATTCCCTCTTTTCTTTTTTTTCTCTTTTATGTCTCCTAAAAGTTTTCCATTCATCCTTTTCCTCAAAATTATTCTTTTACTTTTGTTCTCTGCCTTATCCCTTCAGGACGTCCCATAAGATCTTTAAATTTCTTCTCTTTCCTCTCCTTTATTATCCTCTTTTTATTTTTTCATTTCTTTTCCTTATGTCTTTCTTTTAGTTGTTCCATCATCCTTTTCCTCAAATTTATTCTTCTACTTCTACTTGCCTCTATCCCCTCCAGGACGTAGGCGATCATGGATTTCTCTCCTTTTCCTCTTAATAAATTTCATCTTTTATGTCTCCTTCGTTGTTCCATCATCCTTTTCCTCAAGCTTATTCTTCTTTCATTATGTGCTCTATCCCTTCAGGACGTAGTGTTCGATCATGGCTCTCTTTTTCCCTCCTTTGTATCCTCTTTTTATCTTTCATTTTTTTGTTTTCCTAAAAGTTGTTCCATCTTTTTTTTTTCAACTTATTCTTCTTTCTTCTAATTTCCCTTCAGGACGTAGGCGATCATTTCTTCATTTCCTCCTTTGTTGAATGTTAATAAATTTTATCTTTTCGTTTCTTCCTTTTCCTCCATCATTTTTCCTTTTAGCTTATTCTTCTTTTCTATCTGCCTATCCCTTCAGGACGTTCTTTTCATTTGCTCTCTACAATTTCCTCTCCTTTATACCTCTTAATAAATTTCATCTTTTATGTCTCCTAAAAGTTGTTCCATCATCCTTTTCCTCAAATTCCATTCTTACTTTACGTTTCTTCCCTTTCAGGACTACAAATCATAACTCCTTATGTTTTCTCTCCTTTATTTTCTTAATAAATTTCATTCTTTTTATGTCTCTAAAAGTTGTTCCATCATCCTTTTCCTCAAGCTTATTCTTTTTTCTTATCTTTCTATGACGTAATGCCTCTTTCCCAATTTCCTTTCTTTTCATGGCTCTTCATTTTAATTTCCTCTCCTTTATAATTCTTAATAAATTTCTTCTTTTTTGTCTCCTAAAATGTTAACGTTTTATGTTTTCATTTCTTCCTTTTCCTCAAAATTATTCTTTTTTTTTCATTCTCTTGATCTCCTTCAAACGTTCACGATCATTCTTTTAATTTGCACTCTTTCCTTCCTCCTATTATACCTCTTTTATTTCATTCTTTTCTTTTCCTTAAAGTTGTTCCATCATCCTTTTCCTCAAGCTTATTCTTCTAATTCCCATGTGCCGTTTCCCTTCAGGACGTAGGCGATCATGGCTCTCCTCAATTTCCTCTCCTTTCTTTTCCTTAATAAAATTTCTTTTTATGTCTCTTAAAAGTTCTTCCATCATCCTTTTCCTTTAGCTTTTCTTCTTTCTTCCTGCCGTATCCTTTTATTTTTCGTAGGCGATTTCTTTCTCCTTTTATTTCTCTCTTTTATACCTTAATTTGCTTAATTCTTTTCATCTTTTTCTTTTTTATGTCTTCCTTCTTTTGTTCCATCATCCTTTTATTTCTCTCAAGCAAATTCTTCTCTTTTTTGTTTTATCCTTCAGGACCTCAAAATCATGGCTTTTACAATTTCCTCTCTCTTTGTACCTCTTAATAAATTTCATCTTTTTATTCTCCTAAAAGTTGTTCCATCATCCTTTTCCTCAAGCTTATTCTTTTATTTCGTTTCGTTCTTTATCCCTTCAGGACGTATTTCTTTTTGGCTTTGTCCACAATTTCTTCTCCTTTATACCTCTTAATTTATTTCATCTTTTTCCTCCTAAAATTTTGTTTTATCATCCTTTTCCTCAAGCTTATTCTTCTTCTACTTCTTCTTTATCCTCCTCAAACGTAGGCGATCATGGCCTTTAAATTTCCTCTCTTTCTTCCTCTTAATAAATTTCATCTTTTTATGTCTCCTAAAAGTTGTTCCATCATCTTTTCTTTTCCTCAATATTATTTCTTTTTTCAGGACTCCGATTTCCACATTTCCTTTCTTTTCCTTACCTCTTCCCTTCTTTTTATTTTGTTCGATTCTTCTTTCTTACAAATTCCATGTGTTTCTTCTCCTCTTCTCTTTCCTCTACAAATGTTATCTTTTTATGTTTTTGTTTCTTCCTTTTCCTCAAAATTATTCTTTTAATTTCATTCTCTTACTGATCCTTCAGGACGTCAGGCGATTCTTTTAATTTCCACAATTTCTTCTGCCTTTATTATCCTCTTTTTAAATTTCATCTTTTTTCTGTCTCCTTAATATTATTTCTTTTTCCTTTTCCTCACTTTTCTTCTTTCTATGTTACCGTATCCCTTCAGGACAAATGGCGATCATTTTATGTTTTCAATTTCCTCTCCTTTGTACCTCTTAATAAATTTCATCTTTTTATGTTCCTTTGTTTCATCCTTTTCCCTCAAGCTTATTCCTCTTTTTCTATTCTTTCCGTATCCTTCAGGACGTTTCGATCATGGCTCTCCACAATTTCCTCTCCTTTGTTCCTCTTAATAAATTTCCTCTTTTATGTTCCTTTTTTTTCCATCTTTCCTTTTCCTCAACGCTTATTCTTCTTCTTCTTTCTTCCGTTTCCTTCAGGACGTAGGCGATCCTTTTTATTTCTCCACAATTTCTTCTCCCTTGTACCTCTTAATAAATTTTAATTTGCACTTTTTATGTCTCCTAAAATATGTTCCATTTTTCCTTTTCCTCAAGCTTATTTTCTTTTATTTTGTTCACTGCCTTATCCTTCAAATTCGATCATGGTTCTCCACAATTTCCTCTCTTTCCTCCTCTTAATAAATTTCATCTTTTATGTCTTCCTAAAAGTTTTCCATCTTCCTTTTCCTCAAGCTTATTCTTTTAACTTCTTCGTGCTAATCTCCCTTCAGGACATCCAGCGATCTTTTAATTTGCACTCTTTCCTCCTCCTTTGTTATCCTCTTTTTTAAATTTCATTTTTTTATTCTCCTCTTTTTGTTCCATCTTCCTTTTCCTCAAGCTTTTCTTCTTTCTTCTACGTTTTGTTTCCCTTCAGGATTTCTTTTATTTTGTTCACTCTTCTCTTTCCTCTACAAATTTGTACCTTTTAATATTTCGTTTCTTTCTTTTCCTCCAAATTATTCCCTTTAATTTTTGTTCCTTTCTTCTCCTGTATCCCTTTCACATAAGTTCTTTTTATTTCACTCTTTTTCCTCCTCTAAATATCCTCTTTTTATTCTTTTGTTCCTTCCTTTTTTCCTCAAGCTTATTCTTTTTCCTTTCTTCTACTTTATTTTCTTCTCTTTTTCAGGACGTCCCATGTTTTTTAATTTCTCTCCTTTATTCTTAATAAATTTCATCTTTTTATGTCTTCGTTTCTTCCTTTTCCTTCATCCTTTTCCTTTAATTTCATTCTCTTTCTACGTTCCTCAATCCCTTCAGGACTTTAGGCGATTTGCTGTTTCTCCACAATTTCCTTTATTTCGTTCCTTTCCTTTCTTAATAAATTTCATCTTTTTATTTCTTCTAAAAATTTTCAATTCCATCATCCTTTTCCTCAAAATTATTCTTCTAAATTCTTCTCTTCGTATCCTTCAGGACGTAACGATTTTTAATTTCCACAATTTCTTCTCCTTTGTTATTCTCTTAATAAATTTCATCTTTTTATGTCTTTCAAAAGTTGTTCCATCATCCTTTTCCTCAAGCTTATTCTTTTACTTTCTTCGTTTTTATCCTTCAGGACGTTTTATTTTCATTTCTTCTTTCCACAATTTCCTCTCCTTTTTACCTTCTTCTAAATTTCATCTTTTTAAATCTCCTAAAAGTTGTTTTTCATCATCCTTTTCCTCAAGCTTATTCTTCTTTTTCTTTCATTCCGTATCCTTTCCTCACGTATTATTTCGATTTATTTTTTCTCCACTTTTTCCTCTCCTTTGTATGTCTTAATAAATTTCATCTTTTTATGTCTCCTAAAAGTTGTTCCATCTTCCTTTTCCTCAAATTATTCTTCTACTTCTTCTTGCTGTATCCCTTCAGGACTTAGGCGATCATGGCTCTCCACAATTTCCTCTCCTTTGTACCTCTTAATAAATTTCATCTTTTTATGTCTCCTTTAAGTTGTTCCATCTTCCTTTTCCTCAAGCTTATTCTTTTACTTTACGTTCCGTATCCCTTCAGGACATAGGCGATCATGGCTTCCACAATTTCCTCTCCTTTCCTCTTAATAAATTTCATCTTTTTATGTCTCCTAAAAGTTGTTCCATTTTTTCCTCAAAATTATTCTTCTACTTCTACGTTCCTTATCCCTTCAGGACATTTCCCGATCATGGCTTTACAATTTCCTCTCCTTTGTACCTCTTAATTTAATTTCATCTTTTTATGTTTCCTAAAAGTTGTTCCATTTCCTTTTCCTCAAATTTATTCTTCTACTTCTACGTTCTTCTTATCCCTTCAGGACGTTCACGATCATGGCTCTCCTTCAATTTCCTCTCCTTTGTTCCTCTTAATTAAATTTCATCTTTTTATGTCTCCTTCCTTTGTTGTTCCATCTTCCTTTTCCTCAATTATCCTTTTTTCTTCTTTTCCTTAATATTATTTCTTTTTACGTTTTGTTCACTTATCCCTTCAGGACATAGGCGATCGTGGCTCTCCACAATTTCCTCTCCTTTGTACCTCTTATTAAATTTCATCTTTTATGTCTCCTAAAAGTTGTTCCATCTTCCTTTTCCTCAAGCTTATTCTTCTACTTTCTACGTGCCGTATCCCTTCAGGACGTTTTTTAGGCGATCATGGCTCTCCCTGCCGAATTTCCTCTTTTTTGTTCCTCTTCCTTTTCCTTTCATTTCTTTTTATGTCTCCCCTGTTGTTCCATCTTCCTTTTCCTCAAGCTTATTCTTCTACTTCTACGTGCCGTATCCCTTCAGGACGTTTCTTCATTTCCTCACAATTTCCTCTCCTTTGTACCTCTTAATAAATTTCATCTTTTTATGTCTCTTAAAAGTTGTTCCATCATCCTTTTCCTCAAGCTTATTCTTCTACTTCTACGTGCCGTATCCCTTCAGGACGTTTTTTTCATGGCTCTCCACAATTTCCTTTCCTTTGTACCTCTTAATAAATTTCATCTTTTTGTCTCTCCTAAAAGTTGTTTCCATCATCCTTTTCCTCAAGCTTATTCTTTAATTTCTTCTACGTGCCTCAAATCCCTTCAGGACGTAGGCGATCATGGCTCTCCACAATTTCCTTTCCTTTGTACCTCTTAATAAATTTCATCTTTTTATGTCTCCTAAAAGTTGTTCCATCATCCTTTTCCTCAAGCTTTCTTCTTCTTCTTCCTACGTGCCATCCCTTCAGGACGTAGGCGATCATGGCTCTCCACAATTTCCTCTCCTTTGTACCTCTTAATAAATTTCATCTTTTTATGTCTCCTAAAAGTTGTTCCATCGTCCTTTTCCTCAAGCTTATTCTTCTACTTCTACTTGCCGTATCCTTTAGGACGTAGGCGATCATCCTCTTTCTTAATTTCCTCTCCTTTGTTCCTCTTAATAAATTTCATCTTTTTATGTCTCCTAAAAGTTGTTCCATCTTCCTTTTCCTCAAGCTTATTCTTCTACTTCTACGTGCCGTATCCCTTTAGGACATAGGCGATCATGGCTCTCCACAATTTCCTGTCCTTTGGAGCTCTTAATAAATTTCGTCTTATTGTTTTTTTCTCCTAAACCTTGTTCTTCCGTCTATTTACTTAAACTTGCTAGGTAGGTCATGTATTTTTCCTCTGTCTCTTTTATCTTCATTCTGTCCTGTGAGTATCAAATTTTACATTACAGTTCAGTACTGTTTTCTTTGTTTCTAACGAAATTTTCCTGTTTCTTAATACTTTACTTAGCAGAGTTATTAAATTGGGAATTAAATTTCTCCCATTAATAGTGCAAACTATCCAAGCTTATTTTAAAAGGCAATTCAAATGCGAGAAAATAGCAATTGCGAGTAATTCCAAAGGTCAAGAATCAGTTTCGCAAGTCCAACGTCAGAAAATTGGCGGGAGACATAAATAAAAAGGCGCCATAAATCTGTATCTACAACACAGTGACCTTCACACACGAAGAACTTTAGTAAGCTTGTCGGCAGAGAGCGATGAGAGCAGGAATTCTTTTCTGAGGTTAAAATTATTTTTCTCCTTTGCATTTGACAAGTAGCGAATTTGAATTTTTCTGTCGTTATCGCAAATATTAATTCACCCCAAGAAATTATCAATTTTATATCAAAGTTTGTTTTTATTAAATTTTTTGTATTCTTTTGAAATTACAAATTTAAAATCTGTTAAATTTGTAAAATTTGTTTAGCTTGCCTCGTAGCAAATGCAACCCACATAATTAAAAAAAAAATTGCCAAAAATAAGGAACTTATATTTCGTAAGCGAGGATAATATTCGACGTACTTACAAGGATTTTTTTTTTACAATTTCAAGAAAAAATAATATAATCTGTTTTGGGCTTGTTTCTCGAGGTTATAATTTAATGAGACATAGCCTTTGTTGTTGTAAATGTTTAGAAATGTCAGATGCATAATTCAAACGCACAATCAACCTCCGACGTAGTTGTAGAGTGACCAGCATGAATATTATGAACAGTATCTCTGTCAAGGTTCGCAATTTAGAAAAATTCTTGTTGAAAATATATCTATAAATTTTCACAAAATAATAAAGATAAACTAAAAAACTTGAAGCTATCTATATTAAAAAATTGAAACCAATACTTAATGAAATTAATTATGAATACTGCACAAATGTTTTAAAATGTTTACAGTAAATACCTTAAAGATATCTAGGATTTAACTAATAGCAATGAATTAAAAAAAAAATTAGACATCTAAGAAATTAGTTACCTCCCTTGACGCTATTGCAGGAGTATGCTTACATCATAAATTAAAAAAATCGTACAGTACAAGTTTAGCGTTTTTGACTTCACAAATAAAAATTTAATTTTCAGATATACACAACAAATTTGTCTTAGATAAAACCAACCCCTGATAAAACAAGACCTGAAAATGATAGTTTGCTAAAGTTGAAAGTACTCGTCAGTCATCTTTGCCACATGACCAGTCCAGCGAAGTTGTGACTGCATCAGGAATACTTCAATTCCACCACTGTTGCATTTTGTGTGTAGAATCAGACATATATATATATATATATATATATATATATATATATATATATATTTTATATATAGATATATATATATATTTTATAGATACGAGTTTGTCACCATGGGTTTCACGCATTTGCGATCATTAGACAGACTGGTTTATTTTTTTTTTTAATTGTATCTATTTATGCTTTCCACAAAGTACTGCACATACAAAATAATATATATATATATATATATATATATATATATATATATATATATATATATATATATATATATAAATAATATAATATATATATTAATAATATAATATATATATATAAATAATATAATATATATATATATATATATATAAATAATATAATATATTTATATATATAAATAAATAATATATATATATATATATATATATAAATAATATAGTATATATATATATATAAATAATATAATATATATATATAAATAATATATGTATATATATATAAATAATATAATATATATATAAATAATATAATATATATATATATATAAATAATATAATATATATATATATATATATAAATAATTCAATATATATATATATATATATATATATATATATATATTTTTATGTATGTATAAAGAGAATTGTTGTTCTTGTACGATTGTCTCTATCTCTATGACCGGATAGATTTACAACGTAAAATCCAGCCACTGTTAATAAGAAAATGTAAAAATAATTGAATAAAAACAGTAGCTGAAGAAAGTGATACTTTAATTTGACTATCGTCGGCAAATATCGTAAATTCGAATTGTAGTCATATGCAATGGCGTTTAGATTTTCAATACACCCGTTTTATGCGGCATCTCGACGCGGATTAAAATTTAATTAAGAGAGAAGGAAACGTGTTTCTGATTGAAAAATCAGCCGTCCCTCGAGCGACAGAACAAACACTGGCAGATGGTGTCTGACTTGAGTTGGTCTGAGATTTCAACATTCTTGCTACTTATTTAGCTTTCACGAATTCATAGACGAACAGACTCGCAGATGTTACCGTGGATAAACTGTACATCTTTGAAATTATTCTATTCGACATTGTTTTCCTCCATTTTTTTTTCATTTTTCGTTAATATTTTCACTACATTTTTTCTTTCCGTGCTGCTACAATTTTCGTATATAAAAGAATACTCCGAAACTTGGTGAATGTCATATTGATAGAATACTTTT